ATGACTGGTGTCAGTGCTATAAAGTGAAGCATCAGCTTCAGCTTTTCCCCCTGTCGTTTATACCAGTGTTTACCCCTCACGTCACTAGCTCCGCCCTTGCGCCATAGCTCGTGACCGAAAGAGAAGATGAGACGTTTTGAGGGGGAGGGGAGGTTAACGTTTTTGATTAACGATTACGAGGGCATATGAATTAAAAAAAAATTATGAAGTGCATGGATAAATTATAATAAACACTACAGTATTCCATTAAAAAATAAGAATTTTCATTTTTGATTTCATGGTGACTTTAATATAACACAGCCAATACTTACTTGAAAATGCCAAGACAACAAATATATTTTTTAACTTGGTATTTTATACGTTTATTTAAAGATGTATTGGTCAAAGTCCGGAACATTACACTGAATAACAATTTTACACTTTGGAACATTATTTCCCCCATATTTTGACATTTTATTGTCACAAAATTTATTTGAAATATGAAAGTAGACAATTTACTTGCATTTAAGATGTTTTTAATGCATTTAAAATGACTTTTGTAAATGTAATTTGATGCGAATAAACCGTTTGCGTCTTTGACCCAATTACAAATGTTATTTGGTATTTTATTTTTCATTTATTTTTGACAATGAACAGGCTGCAATGTCAAGTTGGCTAGAATTGACGTGTGCGTGCGTGCGCGCGAGGCGCCGGTGTGCATTTGAATTGCTTCCTTACATCAGTGAAAACAACTTAAAATACTCCATAATTTATGGTAAATACATACACTCTAAAGAGTCTAATTTTATCTGTGTACACTCACAATAAAAACAAAACTTTGTGTTTTTGTAAAATAAAGAAAACATCTCAAGTTTCCTTTTCCTTGAGCATGTTTGTGAGGAGAGCGTGCAAAAATAAATCCAAACGCAGCATAGGCCTATAGGCTACTACTTGCCATTCAGTTTTTTCTTTCGTTTTGTTGATCTGTTAATTGTTTAAGTGAATATATTTCACGTATTTATTCCTTTTATACAGGCTATATTGGTTTATTCTACACTGCAGGTGCGTGATGTGATGATGTGAATCCTCCTGTCATTGTTTTTTTTTTGCTGGTATTTGCGCATGTACTCAAGTTTCCTTTTCCTTGAGCATGTTTGTGAGGAGAGCGTGCAAAAATAAATCCAAACGCAGCATAGGCCTATAGGCTACTACTTGCCATTCAGTTTTTTCTTTCGTTTTGTTGATCTGTTAATTGTTTAAGTGAATATATTTCACGTATTTATTCCTTTTATACAGGCTATATTGGTTTATTCTACACTGCAGGTGCGTGATGTGATGATGTGAATCCTCCTGTCATTGTTTTTTTTTATGCTGGTATTTGCGCATGTAAAATGAACCCCCTGGAAAACCAATTGTTATTTTTAATGAGTCATAGACACTTATCCATTCTAATTTAATTTAATTGTAGTGTAACAATCTTGTCAGTTAAAACCGAAATGAACATGCTTAGCGGGTAGGTTGATGTCAATCCACGAATCCAATGTAGGCTGTTACACACACATTTTCTTTCTCAACCATTTACGTGACAAAACTGTGTTTACGGGGATATTTTAACATAATTTTGTGTGTATTTGTCCACGAACTAGTCTATGAGGCGGCTCTCTGTGCGCAGCTCAGAAAACAGCACGCGGTAGCTACAGAAGTGTCTGCTTCATCTTGCGCTTGAAGAATGGATTAAAAATAAAATCACATTATTAATAAGCAAAGAGGAATAGGCCTATTCGATTCCTGGCCTTAAGTAACTTAAGTGATTCCAGAATAGATTTTTTATTCCCTATTAAT